ATTACGTACAGTCCACGAACGAATCGTAATGCGGCGTAATAATCCACACGTTACCGAGTCTCTCCCCCGTTTCAACCGGGAAAGCAACACAATGATCGTTACCAGCTCGTCTGCTCGGCGCGTCACTTAGCCTGTTAATTCAAATTAATACGTAAGATTATCTGAGATTCTTGAAAGCTCATCCTTTCTAGTTAAACGCATTCAGCTTAATCTGCTCGTAAATGCAAATTGCACGACCAGTCGTTTCGTCTTTGTGGCTCGCAATCAAACGTTGCATAACTCCCGTGCCACGCTGAGTTCATCCATTTAGAGGCAGAATTTATTTCCAGGCTACCTAAACCGCGCCGCGGTTCACCGGCTAACGGTACTCTTTTTTTTCCCTCGTTTTCTTTCCGCCGGACATCTCTCTCGACGGTTCGCGAAAATCACTCGATCCCGCGGTCGGATCGATCGTTAAACCCGTGCGTTGCCTCGAAACCCGAGCGCCGTACTCTCTCCCGCTGATAAGTTATTCCTCGAAATTCGTTCTAATCGCCTCGAATCACTGAAAATCGTCGAATACCGAAAGGAATCTAGGCTGCAAAACATTTCCGTCGATCCCGAACAACCGAACGAGACTCGAACGAAGGATCTTCGTCCGTGTATTTCCTCCCATTTCCTGCGAAAATCATCTGAGCCCCGCGAGGCTAGGATGCTTAATCGTAACTGAAGTGCAAGCGATATACCTTCCACGTGGCCGCGTTGCGCCGGAAGTAGCAGAACGTGTTCTGGAACCAATTGTAGATCTCGTTCAGCGTCAGCTGCTTCTCCGGGGACTCGATGATCGACTGCGGAACAGAAAACGGACAGAAGACGAGCGTGTCAGTGATCCTGCGTAACTCTCAGCGAGTTTTACTTGTTACATTGCGGAGGAAGATTGTGTTTCTCACCCTTAATTCCGCGTCGGAATTAAATTCGATCGGAGGGGATGACTTTAGGGGATTGAATCATTCGATCAAAGTAAAGGGGGACGGGATCGAACGGTTTCACTCACCTGCCGGATCAGTGATGCATACGTGAACGGCGGTCTGATGTCTGCGTTCTTGTAAAATTCCCTATTTCGTTGAAGCTCTGAAACGCCAACAGCAATTGTTTATTTCTTTACGAGGGAACCGGCCACGGAGGGAGGGATCGAAGGGGTTGCTTTTACGGGTCGACTTCGTCGGTGCCTTTTGCGCGGTCTGGTACGCGAGAAACAAGCACAAAACCTCGAGACTACGTGGATATCCCCGTTCAAACGGATCAATTATAAACGTAACCAATAATCCATCTTTATTCAACACTAGATTGTTAAAACCATTAAAAAAACGAAGTAACGAAACTATATCTCGATATTCATCTAAAGTTATTCTCGCCTATAGATTCGTCCCGAGTTCTCACTACGCACGCTCCGTTTGATTCAGTGAACGTTAAAACTAAAAACAATCGTTACCCCGAAAATCGGCTCGCATGCTCAAAAACAAAAGAATATAAAAACGGGTTTCTTAATACTAGATCAAAGAAAACGGTAAAGCGAAAAGCGATCGACGGTGGTTTTTTTGGGGGGTGGATGGTAAAAAGCAGATACTTCGTTTCTCGTTAGAGGTGGTTTATGAGAAGTATCCGCGTCTGAGTGAGTTAGATCTACGCGCGGGGATGGGGGGGTGAATAGAAGAAGGTTCGTCGAGCATGCAAGGGTGCACCCTTCAAGAAAATCCTTAAAGCCACCAAAAGGAGCGTGGAAAGAAGGTTGACAGTACCTTGTTGGACGTCAAGGCCAGCACGCTCCAGCATGTAGGGCAGCCCTACACGGTGGGGAGGGCGGGCAGCACAAGAAACAAGGAAACAACAGAAGCATCGGTAAGAAAGAGTCAAGAACTGATGACGCGTTAAAGGATTCATTTCGATTTCTTTATAGTTTTTTCTTAGCTTTCTTTCTTTCTTTCTTTCTTTCTTTCTTTTCTCTTTGCACGCGATCGTTCTGCCTGGTATTCGTGGAAACTGTTTCTCTTTTCTTTCCTTGCACCTTTTACTCTCTACCTAGAATCATCGAGCGTCCTACGAGTCGCCAACAAGGTGTCGAACACTGGTAGCGCGAAACACGTGAGACACGCGCTACCGTGAGCAAAATCTGTGCGTGTGGTAGAGCTTACGATAGGAAAAGGCACGAGATCAAGAGAGAG